TAACAGATTTGTATAACTTATTCAAGTAAAAAAATATGATCACAAAAAGTTTTTTATAATTATTATTCAGGTAGAATATTGCATTTTATTAAATTGCGCTAAAAATAGTAAAAACTAAGATGTTTTAGCTAAACACTTTAAAAGTGTTTAGCTAAAATACTGTTAAAAAAAGATCTGTTAAAAGACTGTTAAAAGTTTATAATTCACCTTCATCTAATTCATTTGTTAACATAAAAAACATTAAAGTATTTAATGATGGCTTCAATTTAGCATATTCCAGAATTTCAAGTTTGTATTTCTACCACTCAACTTGCAATCGTATTTCTATACAATGGATACTTTAAAATTCTTTAAAAATCTAATATATATATATATATATATATATATATATATATATATATATATATATATATATATATATATATATATATATATATATATATATATACATATATATATATATATATATATATAATATTTATAAATATATATATATATATATATATATATATATATATATATATATATATATATATATATATATATATATATACATATTTGTGAGACCTATTCTATTACTAGCTAAACTACTGAAAAGACGAAGGATAAAAAACTTAATGAAATTAGGGCTAACAATTATTATAATTTTATTATCATCATCATCATTTGTTAAATGAAAAAACATTTTAGATCTAATATTTACCTATCTGACGATGAATGTTTCCATAGTGTAGTAATATCTTTGCAATATTATTTAGTAGAATGTTAGAATAAGTATTCTAACATTCTACTAAATAATTTTCTATCAAAGAAGTATTCCTAAAGGTAACAAAAAAAAAATCACACACAGTGTAAAAAAGTAGTTAATTGATTCAAAGAAGTATTCCTAAAGGTAACAAAAAAAAAATCACACACAGTGTAAAAAAGTAGTTAATTGATAAAAATATTACTCACATAAGCACTAGCTGTTCCATCATATAAGAAAGGAAAACAGTCAATAATTGACTTTGATAAGTCCTGCTTCTCAACAGTTTTCTGAAATATAGAAGTATAAAATTTATTCTAATTAGTTAAAATCCTATAAAATTTTTGATTTTATTTAAACTTACTGAGCACAATTGTTCATCAGATAACACCCACAAACTTTTGATAGAAATAACATTTCTGCTTTATTGACCGGTTCTCCTGACTTTAACTTTTGTGTTAATTGCTGTCCACAAATAGATCCATGCTGCTGCGTCTGCTCTGATATAATATTATCAATTCGAAGATTCTAATAAAATTAAGAGAAGCATGTAATCAACATAATTTCATATTATTTCATTTTAGCATTTAACTACTACACAGAATATACTAATTGATTTTATCAATTACTTTTATTAATATTATGATTATTTTTTACTGTTACATATATGTCTCTATTATTTACTCCACATTTGCCATTTCAGCAATCATCTGTTAATTGTTTGAAAACTAACCTTAAAACTGATTACACTAGTAGTAGTGTAGCTATTGATTTTTGGTGAGGCATTAACTGACTCACTAATACTCATCAAACACTGTGGGGTAGTTCACTTATTACCAACTGGAATATTAACTACAGTTTGAGCCCTAATCCATTCTTTCAGTCATTCTTTCTGCCATCTTAAATCCTAATCGGACAAGGTCCTCTTCTGTGGCTAATACAAATGACTTTAGCGTAAAACCAGATTCTAAAATAAAACAACATAATAAGTAAAAAGATCTTTACTTATACACTAAAAATAGAAAAATACATACTAAAAGATAGAAACTCTTACCAAATAAAGCATGTTCAGTTTTTTCAGGGAGAATGGATAACTCCAATACAGTGGTGAGTGTGTTGCTTAGACTCATTGTTTAAAATATTTAAACTAAATATAATCAAATCAAAATATTTCCACTTTAAGAATAACTGTATATTTACAATTGTGAGGGACATTTACAAACAATTATAAACTGATGATCTGTAAAGACTTGAATTAAACAAGAAAAGAGCAGCTTCATTGCCTTAAGTGACCTAGGCTTTAGGGAGATAAATACAATTTTTAAAAACAATTAGTTTTTTGAACAAATTTAAAATTTTAGAGAATTTTTCTGCAAAATTTGTATATTTGCTATAAAGAAAATATTGCAAATTATACTTTAACCTTTATATTATTAAAAATACTAAATAATAAAATAATTAAAAAAAACCTATTGATCTACCTACCTATAAACCAACTAAAATTATACTATTTACACAAGATATTAAAAATTAAAAAACATCAATCAAATTGCAATCGAATCTTCTTTTCAGTAGTTAGTAGTTGCAAGTAAACTATGACAATAAAGTGGATGATAACCAATAAAGTTGGAAAGCTTGAAAATCTGATACTCTTATTGACAAAGAAATATAACTTCATAAGAATGAAAGTGATAAGTAAAATTGTTTGTCTTCGCAATTTCTTAGACAAAGTGCCACTGCTCTCTTTTGTTCATTTTAATTTGATTATTATTTGTACTTGAAATGAAACATACAATTTTTCCAAATTTTGGCAATCCAGTCTCTATATCTATATTAATTACAATGAAATGTCCTTGTTTGTATTCAACACTTCCTGAATGCAATATTTTTGCAATAGCAATTTCTTCACATGACTTAAAACACAGTATATTTTGCATAGCGTTATAAAAAGGAAGTAAACAAGTAGATTCAAGACTATATTTTACCACAGTGATAATTTTGAGAATGTGTTTATTAGAGAGTTGTGAATGAAAGCCTGCTGCTGATGTCTATGTGCTAGAGTGTGACAAATATTAATAAAATTGCATACAATACGTGCACATCTTTTAAAAAATGAGTTTTTTAGTTCGTATGGCATACAACTCATGCCAACAAGTGGGCCGGACTTAGTTATAATATTGGGCAAATGCACAAGAAAATGATGCTTTAGGCGTATCCTTACTTCAACCATTTTATATGTAAAAACATGGTGCAAAAATCAAATCAATTAAAAATCAATTAAAAATGAGACAAATGAAGAAGAAATATCCAGTTTTTATTCTTTAGAGGGACTATTTTTCCTACAACCATTAGTAAATACTTGAGCAGAGCCCACCATTGTATTAGATTCATAGAGGGTGTAAGTACATGCCCTGGTTCTTGTATTTTGAAAATTTCTGCAGGTTTATGAGTCTTTTCTACAGTTATTTTTGCCCATATTAAAGAAATAGCTTTATTTAAATCTGATAAAGTTAGGCTCTTATCTAAAATGCACAAACCATGAAGAATACACCCTAACTCTACAAGCACAACTCCTTCTAAGAGAGTGTGCATAATATCTAAACACCAATTATCTGTAACATGATTACCTTTTATTTTATTGAGTAGACACTCAGTCTTTACACGTCTGTAATGATTTTTTAATTTATTTGAATTGTTCATATTACTACTAAATTGATCAGATTTTGATACTAAATTGATCAGATCTTGATACTAAATCAGATCTTGATACTAAATCAGATCTTGATACTAAATCAGATCTTGATACTAAATTGATCAGAACTGTTTTGTAGCTATGCACAGTACGCATCTGAAACAGTTCATCCTCAAATTTAATTTGGGTGTCATTTTTTGTTGCATAGCATATTGTACAAAAATGACTGCCAGAAAAAGCAAGCCATTGAAAGACATGTTATCACAAGTAACTTAGCAAAGACTTGCATAATTGTATGACTACCTAAAACTCGAAATAACTCGTTGTAATCTAATAGTGCTTAACTCCTGTATCTCATCAACAAATTTGATTAAAATTGGCCCATGACCATAAATTGCAATACCATGAGTTTAACCCATGGTTAACAAGTGCACATTACCAAAACAAGAGTTAAATGCGTTGGGAGATTTTTTATAATGTAATAGAAAACACCAATGTTGGAATTGATCATACACAATTTGCTATGTTCGCAATGAGACTCTAATTGTGGCATATAACAAATACCATCAGGTTGAACCATAAGAGTATGCCCTGCAAAATAAGAGTCAATGTGATAACATGTTGATAAAAAATCAAGAGGATTGTTGCATAATTCTAACTTGGGTTGCATCTTTTTTAAAATTTAGTCAACAACTACACAATCAATACCAGCTAATAATAAACTTTTATTAATTTCTTGATTAAAGTAACATGATAGTGATCTAGCTATATTATTATATGACTGGACAATTGTAGGTATGATACCATAAGGTATATTGCTATTTGCATGAAGTTGTGACACAAGTGAATTGTTCCTTCAGCTTTAATATCATGCAAAAAATCTAAACTATTTACAGACGAAACTGCATCGAGATTAGGAGATAAATCTTGTAAATGGTTATTACAAGGAGCATAGTTGTCACATAAAAACATATTATCTGGAGTTTCTTCTATAAATGCTGCTGGTTCACTGACTCTCTCTGTTTTTATTTGGTGATAAGTATTTAAATGTCTGATAAAATTAAACAAAACTGAGATTGAACTTATCCTGACGACAACATTTTGGTATAGATAATTGTTGGTTGTCTTTATGTCTTGACAAATAAACCCTTAACTCAGAAATATTATTATAACCTTTATTGCAAAGATAGCATAAAAACATTTTTAAAGTATGCAAACAATTATAACTTTTGTAACTCTATAAATGCTTGAAATGACGGCTTAACTTATATCACGCATTTCTGGCGCATTATTTTACACCATACTAATGTGCAACCATTTAATTTTCACTTACCTCATTTTTTCTGAAAAAATAACTCCACAAAATTTTGCAAATTTGGGCCTCTACACTTAGTGTGGAATTTTAAGTCCACACTTTCTGTGAGAGTGTACTATTAGTAAAAGTCCTTGATATGTTAAAACCTAATCTCTAACTATATTTGATTTGATTTGGTTAATGTGTTGTTTTGTTGAAATGTTGAATTAATTTTATTATAAATATGTCTTTGTATCTTATTTATATAGTAAAACCAAGCCTTAACATTGTGAATGATTCTGTAACGTTTTATGTTAAAAATAATGCTTCAATCACATTGGATACTATAGCATTAACGTCTAGGGTTGGTCTGAAATGTTTTGAATGGTATTTTAACGGAAAATCTTTGTCTGCAAATTCAAAATACAATTATACTTCAGATTACAAACTGATAGTTAATCAACCAGTTGAATCCGATTCTGGAATTTATCAAGTGTTTTATTTTTTTGATGGATTTGAATTAAAACATGCTTTCAATGCATTTTTTGTATACGGTTAGTATTTAAATAATTTTAAAGCAACAAATATTGAATAAATTAAAATTAAAATAAATGTTTTTTATTAAAGTCATATTTAAATATATTTTTTAAATATATTTAAATATGATTTTTATAATATGTTTATTATATGATAAAGTTTACTATGGTTCTTTTAACTAGATACATCTATTATGGTCACTGATTTGCTAACATCAACATCTACTTTGTTTAAAAGAGTCTCAACAACAGACTTCAAAACTTTATCTAATTCTACTGAGGCTGTAAAGGTCTTTTCAGTGTTTTCACTTGTTTCTGTTTGTTCATTGACCAAACCTTCCAGTATTGTTTTGTCATCTGCTGTTTCTATTCAATCAGTAGTAGTTACATTACCATCTCTTGTTTCAGAAAAAGAGCTTATAAAAAGTGGTATGCTATACTTTGTGTAACTTTTTGTGTTTTGTTATTTAAAAAAGTTGCAAATCATAATTAGTTGTTTATTAAAGTTATATTACAGTTTTTTAAACATTTTAGTCCGGTAAAATTAAGCCTCAACATGGAAAAAATTAATATAAATTAGTGTTATATAACGCTATTTCTCTTTAAAATGAATATTTTGGTATTTTTATTTATTTTAGGCAACAAAAATCACAAAGTTTATGCAGTAAAGCACAAAAAAAGAAGTTTTTGACTGAAATATAACTTTCTAATAAGTAATATATTTACTTCTAAGTTAATATATTTAGTTCTAAGTTATGTTAGTATTAGGGTTTGCAAAATTCTGGAAAATTTCTATTCCTGGGATTCGGGGTTGTATAATTAATTCCCGAAACTTTCTGGAAATCCCGGCATTCTGTTATGCTTTAAAACTGAAAGAAAAGCCATAATTAAGTAAGTATTTTGCAGTAAAATGAATAAAACTTGTATATAAAGTTATTTATTTTGTTTTTAGAAAGTATGCTGGCAGGAAGCTTAAACTATCTAAACTATTATCACTTAAGCGTCTTTTTATTTTATTACAAAATAGTCCTGCGGAGGAAAATGCTCTTTCTGATTCTACGCTCGTTGGTTTAATCATCATTAAAAAATCATAAACTTTCTGAAGAATATCACCCCGAGTACAACCACTTTCAAACAATGACATTTCATTCGATAATTTAGAAGTATAAGTTTCACCTAATTTTGACAAAGAATTTTTGGGTGTTGCTAGAAAACTTTTTTCTAGGGCTTCATTCTTTTTTGTTCTTCTTCCGATGTCAGAGAACGCGCCGCTAGTTCTGCTTTTAAATTTATTTTATGTAATTGAATAAGATGAGAATGAAGAGCTTTTGTTGATCCCCCCATATTTTTCAATACTTTTTTGCAATAGCTTAGTTTACACATTGCTGTTTCACTTTCTTTGTTGCGCAGAAAATGTTTCTATATAGGGGTTTTGCTGTTAAACAATATGAAATTTGACATAGTATCCTAATTTGATGAATCAAAGAAAATATAAGAATTTATTTACTTTCTTATAAAAGGGAATTTTTAAAGTTCAATAAATTCAAATAAATACACTCTATTATTACAAAAACACAATATAAATCAGTACAAATAAATTTTTAATTTTTTTCTTATTATTGTTATTATTATTTTTATTATTTATATTATTATTATAATTTAGTTTTAATAATTAAAATTAGTTTCTTACTATTTTTTAATAAATGCTTCAGTAATTGTCACAATAATAATTAATAATATATAATAATAAGTAATAGTGATAATAATATATAAGATTGATTAAACTTACTTTAAACTTATAAATCAATAATGAAAATATTGCATTGCATTGATACTAAATTTTATAGCTCTGTTGTTACTTTATGTTTTATGTGAAAAAATTTAAATGCAGGTATTAATTGTAGTTTTATAAATTCTAAATCCCAGGATATTTTTAAAATAATCCTCGGAATTCGTGGTTAAAAAATTAGGCAAAATCCCGGGTTCCGGGATTGCAAACCCTAGTTAGTATGGTATAGTAGGAAACAAAATATTATTAGTTAAAAGTATAATAGAGACTCTATTTTAGCATAGACTTCAAAAAGTTTATGTAAGTACGTATAAAGCAAATATTCCACCATGTTATAATCTAATATAGTCTATAGTCATGTTATTTACAAAAAAAAAGTTAATCTTGAAAATCTTTAGTTCTAAAATCTAAAGTTTAATTTAAAGTGGTTTTTACTGGCTACAATAATTCCGGACGACTGAATAAGCACGAATTTCATAAGTGCAAACTGGTATAAATGCGAACTTGCACAAGTGCGAACTGGCATTAGTGCAAATTAGCATAAGTGAGATGAATGAATTTACAAACATTAGCATATGTGCGAACTGGCATGAGTGCAAAATGTCGATTTGCATATATGTTAATATTTGCAATTTAATTTGACGTACTTATACCAATTCGCATTTATGCCAGGTAGCACCAATGTCAGTTTTTTTAAATGCTTCGCACTTATGCCAACTTGCACTTATGCCAATATTTGCAAATTCTTTTGACGTACTTATGCTAGTTTACCAGTTTTCGCAAATTCTTTTGGTGCACTTATGCCAATTTGTACTTATGTCATTTTGCACTTATGTCATTCGCACATATTTAGCCACCCGCATCAATTCAAGCATTTGTTTTTACACCAACATTGAACTATATTTAGAACTTAATTTTTTGTGGACTATAACAAAAAAATGAAAAACTGTTTTTTTTTCTAATTATTTTTTTATCTTAGCCTCATCAAATTTTCAAAAAAAACCTTTTTTTAAAAAACTGCATCATATACCAAGAAAAAAATTAAAAAACTGGATACTATTTTAACTAACAAATGTTTATGTTATTTAAAAGACATATGCCAAAAATTATCATTGTTGGTTCTTTTTCATGCTTTGCGCCAGACCTGTAACCATTGTTAACACTTTGTACTAATCAATTAATGAAATCCAGGTTTTTCTGGTGGTGAGTCTTCTGATGAAGATAGAACTCTGATTTTTTTATATATGTTTAAATAATTTAAAGAAACAAAATCAGCAGTGTATTTTGATAAACCACCTATAAAAAAAAGGATGGGGGGGGGGGGGGAATCGACCTCTGAACAAAAAATCTCTGAAAAAAAATGGCGGGGTAGAAACCTTCCTGAACCCTATTTTTTTTATTTCAATTTATTTATATTTTCTCATTATTAGAAATAACCAATAAGGATTGGAAGGGATTTAGCAAGAAAACAGAAACATGTTTAACAAGAAAAAATATGGTTGCATCATCATTAATGGGGTAATCATGTTTTTTCTGGTTAAACAAGTTTCTGTTTTCTTGCTAATAATAATGAAATCTTAAAGTCATGAAAAAATTAAAAGTAAATAAGATTTGCTTAGTAATAACAGAAGATTTGTAGAGAGTTGTAAGTTTTAGTTGTAAAAATTTTAATATAAAAAAACGAAATTTTTTTCTGTGATTTAGCTACTTTGTAGTTTGTATAGTTGTTATAGTATGTTTAAAAAACTTTTTGAATCAAAGGGCAATTATGTAAGATATTCGATGTAAATCATTTAAATTATTAATAGAATTAAAAAATGAGAAAAGAAAGAGAGAATTATAGCCTGTTGACAGTGGTAGTGGTTGTTCCAGCAAAGAACCAACTTATAAAGATAGTAAAAACCAAAGCTTTTAAAAACTCAGAGGTTAGTTTAAAATTATTGTAAGCAGACATTTATTAAAATTCTAAATAATCATTTTTAGTAGCATTTTTAGTAGCCTGAAAATTCTCTTTCTTAAAGATTCTGTGCAAAAGCATATAAATCTGAATTCAGCTTTCATCACCAGGATGGGCAAGTTTATTGCTATCTTCTATGCACCAAAGTTTCTGACTAATGAGAAACCAGGCATTGCTCTGTTACAGGTATTCAAGCAAAACATAAATATTAAGTTTAAATATAAATTGACTATTACTAAATTTTATACATTAAAGCTATTTAATTTTAAAATTACAAAAATGTATCATTTTTTCTTTATCAGGACTTGAATTCTATTTGGAAGATGTCTAGGGATGTTGAGGATGAACTTGCTGCAAGTGCAGTGTTCAAATCATGGGGAAACCTAGTACCTGGATCCAACTGATTCAGTGATTGAACCATTTGAACTGGCAAATTCAGATGATTCAATCACTGAACAAGAAAAGGTGATGATCACCAAAAAGTTCTATAACATATCCATACCAAATGACTGTGACATGGATAGACATAACAATAATGGTTTCTTATCTGAAACAAATGACATTTCTTTTCTTGACAAGCGGTCAGAACTAGTTGATTTCATCGCTGCTGATTAATAGCTAATTTGAGATTTTAGACCATGACAAAACAAAGCCAAATGGATGATTTATCCAGCTAGCTCCTGGAATATTGAATTTGATTATTTGGAGTTTCAGTCATACATCAAAAACTTGGCTGTTATTAATGATTTTAGCGAAAGGGCTGTAAAGCTGGTACAGGAAACAGTGTGTCAAGTTGTCTGAGCATAAGCTGCCAAATCTGCTCAAATTCAAAAACAACTGGATCATGCTATCCTCAAAGACCAAAGCTGCCTACCACAAATAAGCTGAGCAGAAAACACCAGCTCAACTTTTGGAAGAGTTTCCTTTCATAGAAGATGTAAATGTATTCAGCTTCTGTGAAATGGACACTGAATCAGATAGCAACACTGATTTATTTCCTGATGGTAATGCTGTAGAACAACTGTTTGATGACCATGAGGCTGCTAATGGCAGCTAGTTAATTATTTTTTGTTGATTTTTGTAATTTTTGTTTAATACATTTTTACCATTGTTTGTTTATTATTTAAAGAGATTGATTGATTGGTCCCCCCCCCCCTTCACTTTTTTTCTTTTAAAGGTGTCTAATCAAAATTATTTTGATTATTTTGTATCTATTAATTATTTAAGCATACATAAAAAAAAATCTGAATTCTATTTTCATCAGAAGACCCACTGCCAGAAAAACCTGGATTTCATTGATTGATTGGTTGCAACCGATAAAAAGTGTCAACAATGGTTACAAGTCTGGTGCAAAGCATGAAAATGAACATAGAATAATAATTTTTGGTATATGTCTTTTAAATAACATAAACACTCATTTGTTAAAATAGTATCCAGTTTTTAAATTTTTTTCCCGGTATATTATGCAATTTATAAACAAAAGGTTTTTTTGAAATCTTGATGAGGCCAGCGCAAGGTAAAAAAATAATTAAAAAAAAAAAAAAAAAAAGTTTTTTATTTCATTATTTTAGTCTGCAAAAAATTGCCTATTTGTTAGTGGAAATTTTTCTATGACCTAATTTTTAAACACCCCTATTGTTTAAATATAAATATTATTAAAATTACAGTGTAATTTATTGTATAACATGTTTTAAATTCATTGGTGAAAATTAAAATATAGTGTTTTACTCACTGATCTTTGTGATGTCAGAACTTTTTTTCCCTTAAAATAAAAAATACCAATTATTCATTTTAAAATCATAGGGTTTATGCAATGTTGGCTAAAACTCTACAGGGCTATTTACAAGTTTTCACTTTACAAATTGTTTTCTATTACATAAATCTACTACTATGGTAGTAGATTTATGTAATAGTATGGTATTTGTTAGATTTTTTGTTTGAAATTTTTTATAGTCACTGATTTGCTTACATCAACATCAATTTTGTCTAGTAAAGTTTCAACAATAAGTTTTATGTCATCATTACTGTCTTCATTTAAATCTTCCTGTCCTAGTATGTCATCTGTTGTTTCAACTCGGTCAGTTTCAATCAGTAATTCAGTAGCAGTACCAACTCTTGTTCTGGAAAAAAAACTAATGAAAAATGGTATGCTTTAATCGTTGTAAAACTTTTAATGTTTTAGTTATTAAAAAAAAATTGTATGTGATGATTTTAATTTATTTTAAAACAGGATGATGTTTGATGAACACAGAAACAACTAACTATTAAAAACAGAAACTACTAACATAGGGTTCTTGTTTGATGAATGAATGAATAAATGACTAATGAGTAAATTTTTATTTTAGATTTTAGTTTAACTTTTTCAACTAATAATGCTTTTTGCATTTAATTAACATTTTTTTTATAAGATGTATACAATAACAAATGAATAATTTGTGATGTTTAGTTTTAAAATTGAAAGATGCTTGTGGGCCACTTATTTTACTTAACAAAGCAAATAATGTTTCTTTTTTTTTAGATGCATTAATAACTGGTCTGTCTGTTGGAAGTGCTGTTTTGATTATTGGCTTGTTGATTGGCTTAATAATGAGGTATAAAGTGCCTTAAAAAAAAAGCTGTGGATTTGATTGATATATTTCTGATTTTCAGTGTCAACCATAAAACAGCTAAAATAATTTTTTTCTCCATATTTTGTTTCACCCAACTATTTGAATTTAGAGCTGAAACTACCTAAATTTTGAGCAGAAACACAATGAACTTATGTAATATTTGTATAACTAATGAAGTTATATAATTTTTGCTAACCAACAAAAATTATATTACAATTTATGACATATTAAAAAGCCAAATAATTATAAACAAATAACAACAATAGATTGGTAGTTTATAATATAGCAAGATGTTAATTTAAAAAGTAGTATCCAAAATCTTAAAACAATTGTAGTTAGTTATATTTTTAAAATTAATGAATGAATTTAAATGCTTGTAAACAAGAGATTGCTTGTCACTTGTATGGTGTTCATTTATGATTTGTTGTAAAGTTTCTGGTAGTTTCTCCAGTATAATAGGCATTAAATCTAGCACAGGAAAACCACATTAGGTTTGAGAAAATAGAAAGTAAATCTTTTAAACAATACCTATTTTATAATTAATGAGCTGTGGTGAGATTAGTTCTGGAGTGTAATCTGAGGCGTCTAATTTCCAGTCTTCTTTCTATCATAAACAACATACCTGTTATAGTCTTGCAGAAGTGTTCTCCGGAGCTGTTGTCTATACTTTCAAAACTATTCTACAAGTGTTTATCAGAGTCTTGTTTTCCAGCCTGCTGGAGAGCAGCATCTGTTATCCTTATTTTCAAAAATTCTGGAGAGCAATCTCACTTGTCTAACTACCGTCCCATTAGTCTTCTTTCTATCATAAGCAAGGTTTTTTAGTCATTAATTAACAAACACTTAATCTCTTATCTTGAATCTAATATTTACTAACATTCTGATCATCAATATGGATTTTGATCTTCTCGTTCTACTGCTGATTTGTTAACGGTAACAACCCATAAGTTTTATTGTGCATTAGATGTGGAGAGGTTAAGGCTATTGCTCTCAACATTTCTAAAGCCTTTGATAAAGTTTGGCATACTGGTCTTCTCCATAGGCTCTTTTCTTATGGTGTATCAGATAAAATCTTTAAGACTATTAAATACTTCTTTATCAATCGTAGTATAAAAATTGTCCTCGATGGACAACATTCTTTTTCATTTCCTGTAACTTCAGGGGTTCCTCAAGGTTCTATCTTTGGCCCTTTACTTTTTTTAAACATAAACAATCTCCTAAAAATTTTCACATCTAAGGTAGCATTGTTTGCTGCTGATACTACCATTTATTCTTGTCTTGATAAGAAGCCAACACTCTCTGATTGCTTGCCCCTCGCATTTGAGCTTGAAAAAGATCTCATTTCTGCTACAGCATGGGGCTCCCAGTGGCTGGTGAACTTTAACTCAGATAAAACTCTTTTTTTTTAAATAATTGTTATGGCAACAATCTAGATCTTCCTATATTTATGAACGGTAATGTACTCAATGAGTCATCTACCCTTCATCTTCTAGGATTAACTTTTACTTCCAATCCGTTGCAAAAAGGCATCTGCTAAAGTTGCATCTCTTTATCGTGCTCGCCACTTTCTTACTCCAGATTCTATTCTAAATCTCAAATCTGTCCGTGTATGGAATACAGTTGATATATCTGAAACAGATCTTCAAATGATGCCCTATTATTTTAGCCAAGTTAGAAAAATGCATTGAAAACATAGTTGGAATTGCTCTTGCTACCAACCTTCAATCATTGTCACAGTTCTTTGGACGACGCTCCTTTCATCTTGTTTTCCTGATTCATATAATTTTCAATCTGTCAAGCTGTCTTTAATCATTATCTTGTTTTATAAACTTCATCTTTTTTCTTCCAGTAACTTCCAACTCTAATAGTGGTTGCTTGCAGCCTTGTTGGAAACAAAAAATGTTGTGTAAAAAATTAAGTAATTAAATCTTTATCTTTTAACAACTTGTGATTTAGTAAATTATAGTAAATGGAAGTTTAAAATAGTCGGATTATCAAAAATATTTACAACAGTTAATATTTTTATCAAATTATAATGACAAAATCAAGTTTTAAAATATGATTTCAATATCAATAACTTTTTTGTATAAATTTTTTTCCACAAAAGCATTTTTAAAACAAGTATTAACTGCTGGAGTTCAGTATATTGAATTAATTAAAAATTTTGTTAGGAGAAAACTTGCCAAAACCAAAAACATTTAGAGTTAAAAAATAGTTTTCTTCGGACTTGTTTTTCAGAGCCTATTATTAAACTTCATTGATTTTAAGTTCAAGTTCATTTTTTGAATCTTTCTTTAGTTATCATTATGTGACTTTTTTTTGTTGTTGTTTGTGTATAACCAGCCCTCGGAAAAAATAAGCTCAGCAAAAAATTGTCAACCAAAAACTGTTTTAGGTCAACACAAATTTTAGAAACACATTTTAATAAATCAATTAATGTATGAACATTTCGCATAAATTGACAGAAAAACAAACTTTGCTGATTTTCTTTTAAAAGTAAATATTTGTCTAAAACATTATAAACAAAAGCAGGACTTTACTACTTTTTAAGGAATTTTAATAAAACATTACTCTTACAGATGTAATTTTAATTAATAAAAAACAAACAATTTATTTATTTAAAATTACCGTTCATTTTTAACGTTTTATTTTAATTAATATGATTACAATTTCACAAAAAGGTTCCTATTTAAGAATTTAAGTAAAACTTTTGTTTTTCCTTTTTTTCATTTCAATTATTTTATTATAAAGTTTAATAAAGCATTTATTTTTTAAGTTTTGTATTTAGAATTTTATTGAAAAGAAGTTATATAAGACTTCATAAAAAACGTTTAATTATTTTATTTAGAATTTAGAACGGTCGTTTTGTCTTTTTTATTTTAATTAATTTATCTTAAATTTAAAGTAAGTGTATGTTTTACTGATTTTAATTTATTTGAAATAGTAAATAAAATTAAGTTTTGAAATTCTGAGGTAGGCAAAAAATTGCTGACTGTCAGGTCTTAAGTTTTGAGGGCTGGTTAAACTTTAAATGTTGATGACATATACAAACACCAGGCTTAATTAAAAAAATGGCGATGACTTGTATGTACCTAAATATTTACTTGAAGCAGTGTGATACTCAAATCTTAATGCTTTAATCTCAAATCTAAATGCCTTAGACCAATCATACATGCTAGAACATTATTCTGTAGAAATATTAGTCTCATGTTAGATATTTTTCTTTAAATGTAACTGATTCAGTTTAAATTTTGGAAAACAGTGTTTTAAAATGACAATATGTCAAAAAAAGCTAATTTAAAAAGCTGTTATACTGAACTTAACACAAGGTATTGTTGGTTTTTCTGCTAAAAAGTGATGATAAAATCTCAGATTTTAGTGATAGTGATTTTAATGATATGATAGATATTTCCAATGATGAGGAAATTATTGATACCATAAACAAATCAGTTACTCGGATATGAATAATGAGGATTTTATAAAAAATAAGTTACCTGAAAATGATGAAAGTAATTTTACCCAGCCTTTTAGTTGTTGTTCTAACTACTTTTATTGTGTTGCATTGTAACGCAACAAAAAGTATGGCATAACTGATGTTCAATATTTTTAACTAAAGTTTATAGACACCCAACACTTAAAATAGACTCTTTTTGATGTACAGAGTCTAACCATTATCTAAATATGAAACTGGCTACTGCACACAGCAATAATGCTGCAACAAGTTGGGTTAAAAAACATTTTTCGACTTTAAGAGTGCAACCATTAACTGAGTATGATATCAGACACAGCACACAAAGATAATGTGTAGTGTGAAATAATAAACCACAAAAAGATTTACTTTTGTGTAAAATGTGATGTCGAATTAACTGTTGTGCTTTGAGAAATATCACAATGTAATATGATTTATTTTCAATTAGTTTATGTAGTATTGAGATCCATTTAGTTTGTAATGAATTTGCTTATACTCATTGCTTTAAGTATTTACTGTAAAATTAATTTTTTTTTTGTAATTACTTCGTTTTTTTTTGCTTGCTTGCTTGCAATTGCTTTTTCTGTAATTTTTTTTTACTATTTTTGTTTGCTATACCTAATTCTTGTAATTTTAATTATTTTTTTTTACTATAATGCACCAAAATTAGGTGACAATTAGGGAATTAAATTAAATTTTTCTAAATTCTAAATAAAATTCTTTGTTTAAAATTTAGAAAAAACAGCTACTGAATCATAGGTCATGTTTAGAACATGTGGTCAAGTTTTTCATCGTGTTAATAGTTATAAGTTTTTTAGAATGATATAGTGTGTGATTTTCTGTTAACTTATGTTTTTCCAATTAATTTATTCATTTATTCTAATACTACTATTATCTCTAAAGTTAAAATCAAAATAAAATATTCAAAATAATTAACAAGATATTCCTATATATTAAGAATCCATCATAATGAGAATCTATCAAAGTTTTTCTCAATGAAACCCTAGAGCTGGCAAAACAAGGAGTAACTATCAATAATTTGCATTTGACTAAAACTACAAAATTTATGGCATTAATGGCATAATTATAACCGAAATAAAACAACATATAAAGTAGACATGGGTCAATTACAAGAGCTTTAATTACAATTACTTTAAAATTTGTCAATTACAATTACAATTGCATGATTTTATATTTGGATCAATTAAATTACAATTACAAATGTGTTGCATAATTTCAATTATAATTTCAATTACAATTACTGTTGGTAAGAATTTGCCTTTATTGAGTATGAAACAAACTCTCCACATGTTTTGCATTTTATTTTTACATTGTCACTATTTGGTTTTGAGCTACCTTCATCAGTGATAGAATCAATTTTATAATATTCGAAGATTAAAGCTGCATCTGATTTACTTTTATTCATTATAGCTTACATGTAAACAGGAAAAGGATTTAATTAATATAAATTAAACAGATTCATGAAAAATAAAGATAATTGAAATATTTCAAT